CACACAGCCAAGCTGCTCCTGCTCTGCCGACTCTGGACGCGATGATGAGCGACGCGGGTCGCGCTCCTGACCGTGTTCCTCACGCCCGCTGGCTCGGGATCGCACGCCTACTTGTTTCGCTTCCATTGCCTTAAACTCTGTCCCCCACCTTCTCATCCGGCTTTGAAGTGCATGCTGACCCCTTTGGTCTCATCTAAAATCCAAACCAAACCCATGGGCATCAAGTCGATTCCGACCCACGCGACCCCCACTGGGTTTCCACGGCTGTGGGTCTGCACGGCAGCAGACTGCCCCAGCTTTCCCTCACGGAGGGCGCCTTAACCGCCACACCACCAGGTCTTTCATAGGGTTTTTTTTTTTTTTAAAAAAAAGAAGAAACGCAATACTCAAGGGCAGAATTCTTCACTCTTTGGGCTAAACTGTTACTTGGTTTACAGGTGACCTCGGGTATGGTTTCCATTAGTCATTAAAGGATTTCGCAAATCAACCTGTGAAGTCAGAAAGCTTTCCAAATATAAGAAAACTCTCCTTTAAAAACTGTACTTGCAAGAATTAGGAATTTAGTCACTTTTGTCCCTTTGCTTTGCTTTGATTCTCAGAGCCCTCTAAGAACCACGGGGTGCACCCACCCCGGCCAACGGCTATGCCGGCACTCACCAAGTGCCCTAAGCCGCACACACACACACACCATACCCCGCCCCCTGTTGGTCTCACTGAAGCTGTCTTCTGCCCTTGATCCACGTTAGACAGTGACACCAGACAGTATGGACAAGTCTTTGATCAAGGACATACACACACGCACACACACACACACCGTTCCAAGTACACAGCCTCTCTACTCTCATCAAAGCCTGCCTTATGAGAGGCTAATTTCGTGTAATATAAGCTTACAAAGGAGCTCTGGTGGTGCTGTGGTTAAAGCACTGGATTGCTACCTGAAAGTTGAGCAGTTCAAAGCCACCAGCCGCTCCTTGGGAGAAAGATGAGGGAGTCTGCTTCCGCAAGGATTAGAGCCTTGGAAGCCCTATGGGGCAGTTCTACTCTGTCCTCTAGCGGTGCTCCCAGGTGGAATCGACTCAAGAGCCATGAAGTCTTGGGTTTTCAAGATGAAGGAACCGCAGAGTGTCGGGACTAGAAAAGTTGGATATAGCCCTACCCCATCAAAGAAAACAGCACGCCAACTGCATCCACCCAACCACGAGGCACAGGCAGCGAGAAACTGCCAGCTGCTCTCTGTTGGTGGCACTGAACCTTGCCATGTCCACAGGGGACGGCGCGCCGCTCCCGCCTCCACCTGAGCCACCCAGGCAGAGAGGGCTCCCTGAGGCCCCAGGCCTGCAGAGCAGGGGCCGTCCCAACAAAGAATTAGGTTTGAGGGGTCAGAGCTCCTGCGGGGAGCAGGGAGCACAGTTAGGGGACGGCAGCCTTGTATTTTTCCCCTCTTAACCTGTGATCATTAAAAAAAAAAAAAAAAAAAGAACAACTTTCTTTTTTCTGATTAGGAAATAACTGTTCAAAATAGACACTTTCAAAATCTTTCCAGAAATAAATAAATGCAGAAATAAAAAAGCTAAGAATCACATCACCTATACATAAATATCACTAGTTCTGACAATTTTCCTTTTTCTCAATAAACATACATATTTTCAAAAGGTGGGAGCGGCAATTGCCTGTCCGTCTGTCCTACCCAGAGCCCTTCTCACCGCCAGCAACCACAGGCTTCACAACTGGGCGGTGCTGTACAGCAGGCTCGGGGACGCGCTCTCAGCCGCAGCACAGCTGTGGGGGCCCTCGTTCCCGCGCGGCTCCCAGCCTCCGCGTGGGGAGGGCGGTGCAGCCTGGAGAGGAGGGCATTCGCAGCTGTGATTTTTTAATAGTTCCTATTTTGAAAGGAAAAACCTGACAGTCTGGAAGTTTCCTGCTAGAGGCAGGGAAGAGATGAGAGACCAGCATCCAAAGCCCGGGAGATAGCGGGGGGTGGGGAAGGGGGCTTCTCCTCAGAACACCATCTTCAGCACTTCTGGAGAACCAGCAAGTGGCAACTGAAGGACAGAGTTTCAAAGTCAGATGCAAGTAGAAAACCCACCGCTACCGAGCTGACCCGACTCACGGCGCCCCTAGAGGACAGAACAGAACTGTCCCAGAGCGTGTCCAAGGCTGTCATCTTTGCAGAAGACTGCCCGATCTTTCTCCGGCAGAAAGGCTGGTGGGTTCAAACCACTGACCTTTGGGTTAATAGCTGAGTGCTTTAACCAGTGCACCACCAGGGTGGCAAATATGGACAGGTGGCAGGAAGCACCAGGGGACTGCTCAGGCTTCCGGTTACCCCACCAGGGAGCTGGGCATCTTCGACAGCGCCCCCCGCACAGCCTCAGGGCAGCTCTGGGCGACCCGCCCACCGCCATCCCGGCGCCCAGCGCAGCCGGTGTTCAGCAGGAGTGAACACACAGCATTGCTGGATAAACAGAGCGTCAATGACGAAAGGGTGGAATGAATAAACGAGGCCGACCAAAAATCCATGTCCTGGCCAACGCTGGAAGCTCCCCCCTCATGGAAAATATACTGGTGCTGACAAAGGACCCAAGGGGCACAGCAAGTGCTCACGGGGATGCGTTGGCCTCGAGGACCCAGCATGGACACACCACGACAGAGCTCACTGCAGCCAGACACACGGTCTTAACCGCACACGAGGTGTGCGAGGAAGGAGCAGGTGGTCACCCACCCAGAGGGTGGGAGAAGGAAGGGAGGGCCTGCTGGCATCCACACGGCGGGCAGGCAGCTCAGGCGGGAGGACATTTCAGATGGCCACACCTGGGCCCTTAGGCCCACTTAGGAAGAGGTATGCAAATGCCCCCTCCATGGTAGTGGTGCCAGCGTCTCAGTCTCCCACATCCCACGATTTCTTCCGGGGTCATGAGGCCCCCATTTGTAGACTGTTCTAAGAGGCTATCTGTCCTTTAAGCCAAGCCTCTACTCCCTTGGAGTTGGGCCAACAAACCCACCTATGACATTGCACCCCAGACCCCCTTAACTTGGCTGTGTGGGAGCAGGGGCAGCTTCTCATCACTCCAGAGTCTCAGGGCCCAGGCCGCATGCTGGCAAGGAGGTTCCCGAGAGGGGGCTGGCCCGGGCACCTGGCTCCCAGCACCAGTGGCTCCAAGCTTGTGCACTTAGGCGTCTGATTTTAAATGCTAGTTTACAAACTGATGAAAGTTAATACACGCAACACGTGTTTTTTTAAAAAAAATATGTAGTCCTCAACTTATGACGGGGTCCTAAGCTGACCACACTACTGTCAGTCAGTCTGGTATAAGTCGAGTCCCTCGTATGTTTGGAGCCATTGTTACTGTCTTTTATTATCAGTATCTTTACAAAGCATAATGCTGGACATCCACAGTAAACATGTGAGAATGACAACATCAGTGAATGACATGTTGCAACACGCTATGTGGTACATGTAACACATGGTAAGACGTAAAAAAACTCAAACGGTAGACGGTCCTAAGTGCGGCTTGTTGTAACTCAAACACATCGTGAGTCAGGGACTGTATACTCAACCCAAGGAAACGGTCAGCAGTGACAAGTTCCTCTCCCACCCCAGGTGGTTCCTGGGAGGCTGTCCCTGTTAAGTGTGTTGTGGATCTTTTCCGAAAACGTCTAAGATGCACAAGAATAAACGTGGCTTCTTTTTCTTCGTAGGAGAATAGGTGGCAGTGGCTGCAGCCGCGACATAAGGACTGTCTTGCCGCGAGCAAGCTTCCTGCCCAGCACTGTGCCGGGAGCTCGCCCTGCTACAGGCAGACGCGGTCCCTCCTCCTCGTGGCTGTAGTCTGCAGAGACGCCACAGGACTGACTCCCAGATCCCAGTGAGAGGGACCGACATGGTGCCCAGTCTGTTGTCACCCACTAGTTCAGCCTTTCAGCCCTCACAGCCAGCCTCGGTCCTAGTCCAAGGAGCCCTGGTGATGCAGTGGTTAAACACTCTGCTGCTGACATGTCAGTGGTTTGAACCCACCAGCTGCCCCGCAAGAGAAAGACGTGGCAGTGTGGGTCCCTAAAGGTGACAGCCTTGGAAACCCTGTGGGCCAGCTCTACTCTGCAGCTATGAGTTGGAATTGATGGGAGGGCAGTGGGCTTGCTTTGATTCCAAGAAGGGGTCACTATGAGTCGGAAATGACTCAACGGCAGTGAGGTTGTTTTTTTGCTTTGACCCTAATCGCACCTGCTTATCCTCTAAATTCAAACCAACAAAGACAACCCTCCGTTTACTCTGTGTGAAGCTCCACTGTCCACAAACGTCTTCGCAGCCCTTCGCCGCCGAGCGGACACGAGAGGCCCCGACATTAACCAGCTCCCTTCCACCCGCCTGCCTCCTCTCCTTTCTCCGCACCCTTTTCATTAAGTGCCTGCCATAAAGTGCCTCCCTCCCTCTGGGCGAGAGCTAATGAGTAATGAGGAGCCCGGCGCACGTTGCCAGGAAGGGGCAGAAGCAGGGACGGCTGATGACGAGCTTGGGCAGCCTGGTCTGAGCGTCACTCGCTGCAGCCCAGTCACGACTCCCTCAAGGGCCCCAGAGGCTCTAGCTCTCCAGGTCCTTCTGACGCCACCTGAGGACTTCACGGGCCCAGACGTCAGGGAGTTACAGGCATCATGTGGCCACGATCTGGCTCGTCAAGTTCAAGAAAACATTCCCTCTGCTTTTCCCAACTCACAACACTTTCCCGGGCTGTGATTCACACGCCTCAGTCCGTGTCTAAACCATGACTCCACGGGAGTGGAGTGCGTGGACCCGACCACTGACGTGTCGGGCTATGGACGGTGACATGTGCTGCTGCTAGTCTAAAGCAACCCCGAAACACTATCAGCTCCGTCAGCGTTTCAGACGTACGCAGACTTCAGAAAGACAGGGGCAATTTTATCAACTAAACACAGAGAAATACTGGAAACACAGTACCTCATCCAGCTCCTGAAGACAGGTGGTGTTCCATCGGTCCCATCCAGTCAGGGACAGCGAGGAGAGAAGGGTGGGGACACACAGACAGACGGACATGGTCAGTTCAGAAAGCATTAGGATTGCAAACTCTAAACTGACTGCAAATAAAAACCCACAAACTTAGGCACTAACAAAATATCTCCCTTCTGATTCTTAAAAAAACAAAAGACAAAAACCAGCTGCTTCCATGTTTTCATTTTAACTCCCCGTCGTAATCGTTTTGCTAAGTGAGGTCAGAGACACTCAAAAACAGGTGTAAAAATTAAAACACAAAAGAGACAAATAAAACCCCCTCGCTTCAGTTTCACTGAAGTATAACATTAACCCATTTCATAACCATCCAGTATCACAGACAACACTGCATTCTAAATTTCCTTTAGGGAATAAAGCGAAAACGTCCTTTTATTGTGTCAACTACCTACTTTTCGCATGTAAACAGCCCTGTCAACGAGGCACAATGAAAGCGGGAACAATCTACTGACGCTGTCCGAGCGGGACGCTGGAGCCCGCAGCTGCAGGGCCGCCCCCGTGGTGACCGGGAGCTGGGGCCCACGCTTCCCCAGAGACACCGGTGGGGAGAGGAAGGAACCAGTGTCCCCCAGCCTGGCAGTTAGGAGCGGTGGTCTAGGAAACACACAGGGCTCATGCAGCCAGCAGGGAGGCAAGCAAGCAAAACAAAACAAAACA